ACCAGACCCTAATGCACCAGGCACTGGAGTCTTGGGCCTTATGAAACATGCGTTCTATGAATTGCTGACAAACTGATGAAGGCTGTATGAATCTAATTTAAATATCAATATCTATGGCAGATTATTAGGAGATTTATTTATTAACATAAAATCCATGGCATTAATGAAAATACCGTGTATACAGTGACACACACAAACTAACTCCTTGCAGCAGGGGACAATCCTTAAAAATTTCATCATTGGGGCAATAAATGCGTCATCACATAGGCTGATTTCAAGTGAACAAATTTACAAATCTTTGAAATCTGACCTTCCTTTCAGCTGCAAAGTCCCAAATTAGGTTAGAGCAGCTTGTTTTTGTGTCTTCAACCCTCCTTGATCCTCAGGGATCAATGACTAATTCTGTCTTTTCAAAGTAAGGTAGAGGGCAGCCCAAACACTCAGCCTCAGGGGTTACATCTGGTTTGCAACTTCCTGCTGTGTGTAAGGCACAGACGTTGTATTTGTAACCGTTTGGTGAGTAAGAGAGTACAGGCTTTAGTGATCTCTAAAGCATGTCAACAGGGTGTATTCGGCAGCTGAGTGGACTCCACATATTTTCCTCTTTATTGCTCCCAGCCCTCTGGGGGAATTGTTCACATTCCCCCAGAATTGTTTGCATCTTCTCAAGGTGTTCCCAGAATTCTCAGTTCATGCCACCGTCACGTTACTCAGAAACACACAGAGCTTTTATTCAGTCCAGGTAACAGATGTCCTTAGATCCACACTGATAGACCTCAAAGAGGAAAAAAAAAAGGGAAGCGAGGAGTGCTGTAGCTTGAGCTTGACTGTCGCGTTTCTGCCTTGGTTTTGCTTCCTCTTCCATTCTGGTGGCTTCCCATTTTGGTCTGTTGCCTCCTGTCCCCTGAATTTATTTTCCATTCGAGAAGCCGTTTCCTTAGAAGCTGTTTTTCCCCTTGATGGTTCCCACTTTCTGGCCCCAGTTTGCTTCTTCGGGAGGTCTGGCTGCTGCCACAGCACTTGCCTCAGACCCGGCCTCCGCTTGCCAGGGCTCCAGGCCAGCCCGGCCTTCCACCCAGTCCCTCCGCTCCAGCCGGCTCAGCTCAGAGCCTTCTGGTCCCAAACACTCTCTCGCACCAAACCCCTGCCAAGGGACAAATGCAGAAGGTCCTGCCTGGTGGGCTCAGCTAACGGTGAATGCAGGGAACAGGGGGGAGAGAAGGCGCACACAGGATCAGTCCTTGGCAGGAGCAGTTTCTCAAACTCCCTGGGTTGTTGATAAGAATGGATGAAATCTGTATTTCAAGAACTTTCATGAATGAGGAAAAGGAAGATTTAGATTATATAACAGCCCTCCAGGCCTTCAGAATAAAAAGATATCTAAGTAGGCATCAGCTATTTGGGGCCCCACGGTGACTAAGAACTCATTTCTTAGCACCTCTTCTCACAGAGCCTTTAAGAAAAACGGAGTTTTGAGTGAGCACCTCTGCATTCCGTCTTTATCCCTGATATGTGTGTGGGGAGGAGGAGTGTGCCCAGAATGTTTGGTACCCCTAATTTTACAGATAAGGGGACCGACAAGACAAAGTGTAAAATAATGTTAATGCTGTAGAAACCTTGGAAGAATTCAGACTAGCTCTTGGGGGCTTTCATCCCTGTCTCTGGAATGTCCTGTGATCCCGAGTGAGATATTTCCCATCTATGATTTCAATTGTAAGATGACACTGTTCTTTTGCACCAGTACATGAGGGCTAGCTAATTAAAATACTGTACTGGTTCATTCAAGAAGTATTTACTGGATTCCTACTACATACAAGGCATGGTGCAAAGAGACTGAGTAACATGACAAAAAGTTAAAAATAGATTGCCATAAATAAACTCCACGATAGGATTATGTAATGCCTTTCAGATAATTTTAGCTGTTTGGATATACAAACACGGCTTCTGGTTCTACTGTTTTAAAACAGGTCTAGTTCTAGACCTGTTTTTTTTCCACTGACACCAGTCTGTTCCAAATCCATTCATTCATCTTCGTCTACAGCCAATTCCCATCTATTTTCTAACGGTACGACCAAAGCTGCCATATAACATGCTCTGTACACTACTGGGGCAAACAGGGTGGAAATCCATTCTAGGTTTCGCTGACTAGGCCGTGTCGCCCAGCCTGGGTCAGTGTCCACCCGGAGGAAGGGAGCAATTCTCTAATTTGGAACAAGGGTCCCATATGGCTTAGCGGTGGCCATGCTCATATCTGCAGTTGGCTTACTAACCAGAAATAGAACAAAGGGGCAGAGCTGCGTGTTGTAATCAAACAAGATGTACAATAAAGACACACGTGGCGGCATATATGCCGTGCTTATCTTCACTGACTCCTGTGAGTGGCCGTATTCGGTGCTCTGTTTACTCAGCAAAGCCAACTGGCAGGGGGCGGTGGGGGGGGAGCAAGAAGAAAACTTGTTGGGGAAGAGGCCACAGTGAAAGCCTTGGTGAGTTCCGGGGAGCACATGTGGGCTCCCCGTGGTCGGAGTGTTTCCAGGAATCTCATGTCCAGCAGAGTCCAGGGTCCTGGGGTGCGAACTCATTCATGTCCAACTTACTGAAGAACACCACCATCTCCCTTCTGGTAGAATGTGACCTTCTCACTGAGCATCAAAGACGACAGGCAGACAGAGGTGACTGACGGTGAAGATTTTAGGGTTACAGAAGGTGAATCAAGGGGGTGTTAATTCTTACAGTGGAGCTTGTGTTTACTCTCAGCGGATGGGGAATAAGCACGGAGAATGAGCATGTGTAAAGCGAGTCAGGCCCATCTACAATAAGCCAGTAGAGGAAGGACAGGAATTAGCATCAAACCTTATTCTGATGAACATACTATCGCTTTCACATTAAAAGATTACACTTGGGTATAGGTCTTTGTAATTTTCAGTGATAGTATGTCTGAAAATTATTGTTTCTTTTAAAAAGATTGTGTTTATGTATTTTTAGAGAGAGGGGAAGGGAGGGAGAAAGAGGGGGAAAGAAACATCAATATGTAAGAGAAACATCCATCGGTTGCCTCCTGCACACACCCAGCCAGGGACCTGGCCCACAACCAGGCAGGTGCCCTGATTGGGAATCAAATCAGCAGCCTTTTGGTTTGTGGGATGATCCTCAACCCACTGAGTCACACCAGTCAGGGCTGATGATTATTGTTCTTACGCTCCCACAAAAGACAGAAAGGATAAGATCGGTCCACAGATCTGACCAGGCATATTTCCAAGATCCCAAGCTACCGTGCAAAGACACCATAAGAACGGGACATGTAGGATTTCTCTCGGGCCAGAAGACGTATGTAAAATAATGTGGCTACTCACAGGCCATTTTAGAAATTCGCTGGCTGCTCTCATAGGTTGGTCCATCACTGCCTGTGAGACCACAGTCGTGGTACCCACAACTCGCAGCTTTCGCATAATACATTCTCACGAAGGAAGAAAGAGGCCACTTCATAATGCAGTGAGGTGCCCTTCACTGGTGGTATTCAAGCGGAGGCTGGATGCTTAAGTCAAAGGTACTGGAGAAGACATTTCGGCCCTCAAATGGAAGGTTCCTTCCAGCTCTGAGATTCTCTGATTTCCTTGTAAATCATGGTTGACAGATGGAATGTAGGGCAGTGTTGTGTCATGAGACAAGCTATACTTAGAGCCAAACGTGATAAAAGAGTCCATCGAAAGAGCCTGAAAGCTGACAGTCTTTTGGGAGCCGAAGAACAAAGAACACTTTGGGACGCCTGTCCTTCTGCCATGAACGTTCAGCCCTGTAACGCCATGTCTGCCGTGGGCGTGGCCAACAGCCTTGAGCAGTGGTGGACTTGAGTCCATAGGGGACGGAGGAGAGACCATGGTTCCCAGAGGAAAGATGCCTGGACAAGAGCTTCCCCAGTCGTTGACCTGGTGCAAGAAGGTGGATGACACCACTTTCCTCCGAAAGAAAGCATTTGTAGTTGGATGCGTGCATTTTCCTCATAATTTTTTATGCAATGTTCAGCAAAATCCGAGATGCTGGGATGGACATTTTTAGCTTGCTTTGTCAAGATTCTTTTAGTACTCAACCAATTTTAACTCAAATTCACAAACGCCACAAGATAAAAAGCAGACACTCACAGTGTGCATCATTCTTGAGACAGGTATGTCATTGTATAAAAAAAAATTTGTTGTTGCTTCAGCAGCTCTCATTTGTTGGATTGGTATTAGTGCTGTGCTTCATACAGAAAATATTAGAATGACCCACTAACTCTGAGCTGATTTCTAGCAAAGGGGTTCTTTTCATTTTGCTCTGATAATGAGCTCTATTCCCTATCACTTGAATCGGGGTTGGAGTCTGTGATTATGAAGCAATGCCAAACTCCTGGCCCACACTGGGTTCAAACCCACAGTCCCGGTCTCATCAATATTATGCAGTGAGCAGCCTGAGCATGTGTTGAAACCAGGGGTGCGGGGAGATGACCTCACAAGACAGCAGGGATCGTGTCTGTCTTTTGCATTGCTGTGTCCCAGCGTCCAGGACACTGCCTGGAACATAGGAGGTATTTAATACATATACATGTGGAATGAGTGAATTGTTAGTCCAAGGTACCAAGAGCCCACAGCCCTCCCATTTCTCTTTCCCCTTCTCCTTAACCTGAGTCCCATTTTCCAAATTCATCTCCAACATTTCACGTGTTGAGAGATGAATTTAGAAGGAAAAGAACTTTCATATGATTGGGTCAGAAGATGTTTGTAAAAATGGGAAAGCTTGCCGATGTCTTGAAACAAAGGACAACTATGTTAATAGTAACGAATAATACAGATAGAATTTAGAAAAAGACAAATCAAGAACACACTATCTTCTCTGGCCCACTTCTAAGGGGACAGTTCGCCTGGACAGAAGTCATACTGCTCTGCCGATGTCGGCATTGCCTGTGAAGCAGACCACGCCCTTTGCAAACATTACCCCTGGCATGTGTTCCCTACCTGGTCGGAGAGGTGTCCCGGGTCCTGCTGTGATCACAGTGTAAGGCCCGACTCGTTCATAAGTGGAGAGCAGAGCGGCGGGTGCAGAATCCCTGCCATAGGCCTTCTACCTTCTCCCCCTTACCCTCTTCTCCAGCCCAGGAGGCCAACTCCAGCCAGCGCCATGGCGAGGACGAGGCACCCGGAGACAGCTTTCATCACCAGAGGGATAGTTTCCGACTCTGCAAACAAGCATATGAGGAAATACCCACCAGTTTTCCTCCCCTTCTATATTAACTTTCAGGGAAGCCCACCACAACTTTTCTTGCTCTCGCTTCTCATTTCACAGCTCCACACGGGGCAAGAGTCTTTAGGTTACACAGGGGAACAACAGTTCCCAGAGTGGGATCTGAATGTCCCAGGGGTCTTCAAGACCCTTGCAGAGTCCATGAGTCTCAATCATGGTTGTCCTTTTTTTATCACTCACACGCACAGCGGGGTTTTCTAGAAGCTACGTCACAGGTGATGACACCATTGTCTGATAGATAATGAAATATGTGCTGTGTTTTCTTGAGTTTAAATTTAAAAATCATTTATTTTTAATACAGTAAGTAACCATAGAGATAACCCACATAAATAAAAGCTCTTTGGGATCCTCAGTAATTTTTAAGAACATAAGGAAGCCCTCAGGCCCCAAAGAGAGAGAACCTCTGATTTAAAAGACTCGTTCTAAAGCAGGCCCTGATCCATGCTTGCTGCTCACCCCCCACCCTCCCTTCTCCGTCTCCCTTCCCAGGCAGCCACACCCTGTCCTTACCCTGAGGGACCTGCAGGACCATTTGGACATCACAGTGCTCCTCGTGACAGGAGGAAAGGTCACTGCTCTGAGGATCTGGGTCCACAGATATCCATGTCTGATAGGTCCCGTCCCTGCTGGGAGGAATGTCTCCATAATCCATTTCTTGGATCATTTCTTCCCCATTTTTCATCCTGACCACGGGAATTTCTGTGGGGGCGGGGGAGGACAGTAAAAGCCATGAGCTGTGCAGAAAAGAGTTACAATCCCTGGAAAAGTTTCTTTGCGATTCACTCTGACCAGTGGGGGCTCTGGGAAGAAAAAGGTAGAGTTAAACAGAAACAGCTTATGTACTGCACATACAATGTTAGAAATTGGCATCTGGGTTTCCCAATTCATTTTCTTCACTGCAGGAAACATCTAAAACCAAGGACGACCCAGAACCCAGGTTCATTGACAACACACTGACTTAGGGTGTACTTCCTGCCAGGGCAGTGTGCTCCGGAACAATGACCGTGCAGTTGAGCCACGTGATAGAGCTACAGAATTTGTGTGTGCCTGTTTGTGATGAGCAATCCAGCACAACTTTGGAGAACTCGGCACTCCTCCTTCTCAGTTCCGGGCTAGGGCAGGGAGGTCACAGCCGTCTCAGCTCAGCTTCGGCTCTGAATTGCCTCGTGTGCTCGAGCAGGTACTTTGCTGGCAGCTGTAGTCTGGACGTTGTGCTTCCCCCCAACCCTTCCAATTCCATATGTTAAAACCCTCACCCCCAAAGATGAGGGTGTGAGGAGGCGGGGCCTTTGAGAGGTGTTTACCCTCAAAACTGGGGTTAGTGCCCTTATAAGAGAGACTCCAGAGAAGTCCCCAGTCCCCTTCCACCATGAGGGGACACAGCAAGAAGTCAGCAGACTGCAGCCTGGAAGAGCGCCCTCACCTGAGCATGCTGGCACCCAGACTTGGACTTTGGGCTTCCAGAACCGTGGGAACTGCCTTTCTGTTGTAAGCTACCCAGTCTGAGGGCATTTGGTTACAGCAGCCCAAACAGACTAAGGCAGTGATTGTCATGAGGCACACGCATGGAACAGATCGAGTCACAGCTGCCCCTCTAAAGGCTAGCTACAGAGATTCGTATCACGGAGGGACTCCGGCGGCAACGACAGAGAATTATACATTTGCCCTTGCTTCCACTCGCCCACCCTGCTCATTTGCTGTATGGTGCTGTCCTTAGTGTTCCCTGCTGACACTGGGTCACACCCAGACAGGAGCCCCGCGGAGCCCGACCCCATCCTGCGAGAGGCCGCCTCCTTCTCATCTCAGACTCAGTTCTCCGCCCCGAGCTGCCTGCCACCGGGACACAGGAAGAAGCGTTCACCTCGACAACACCTTCCTTTTCTGTTTCCTGTGGCATGCGGTCTAGCAGGAGAAAAAGGCTTTCCAATATTAAAAAGGAAATAAGACGCCACCAAGAGAGACTCTGCTTTGTGCCTGTGTGTAAGAAATGATCACAGATCCTTGTCTAGGGGGTCGGTTTTGACCGAAGGGTTGAAACCCCATTGGGACACCCCATTAGAGAGAGAGGAGGCTTGAAGGGCGGGGAGCAGATATCCTGAACTTGGACTTCTGCTTCTTCCCACCCACCCCAGGTGCGCGGGCGTCCTCCCGGTTTCTCCGAAGAGTACAAGCCCTCAAATCTGGTTGCAAAAATGCAAGGAGAGCTGGGAGAGAGGAGCCCATTCTTCTAGAATGGTGAAGCTACGCAGACGCGAGCTTTGTGTTGGCTGCCACGTCCTCTCCTCGGAGAAAACCATTCAAATCTCAGTCTCAATTCCTCGGGTCCCCACACTGCCCTGATTTCTGCCTGTCAAGTAGCTCTCCCCTTGCACTTGGGCCAGTTCTCGCGGGTTTCTGTTCACGGCAACCATTAAAGTTGAGACGCTTTTTCCGCTAGTGAGTGGGAGGGCGGAAGCTCAAACGCTCGTTCTCTGCCTCCAAGGCTTTGGAAAGAGTCCACGTTCACTCACAATGGGGCCCAGATGCCTCCGAGGGCCCACCCCCTGCCCCTGAAGGCCGCTACCGTGGGAAGAGGCACGCCGAGTCTACGCGCTTCCTCCAGGGCCACACGGGCCTGATTTATCTCAGCTAAGAATTGTAAGTGAAAAGTTCTGTATTCACTAAAAGCTGGCCAATTAAATCCTACCATTAATATGTAAGAGAAGCCTTTCACTGAAAGAAATCTTATCAGGAATAGTGAGGCCAAGGCCTTCTGTTTGTCTCATCAGTCCAGATTTTCACTCATATTGGTGTTATGGGAGCCCTCCATCACTAAAACACTCGTAAGAATCGCTCCACCACCCCAGGTATTTCCCAGCTTTCACTGACAGAAGACGGAAGAATCTGTCTCATTCGATGCCCCCCAAAGGAGGTGTCCCTGGAGGTATGTCGTCTCTCAAGTAGAATTGCTGAGTCTCGTCAAAATGCTGATAAAAAGTAATGAGGGAAAGTTTTCACGGGGAGTTATAGATCACAACAGTCCACCTAACAAGATGGATTTCGGAACAGGGGGCATATAGCCTAGATTAGAGGAAGTTAGATATAAAAGCAGGGGTTCCGGGGGTGCAGGAACAAGGTGCTCTCCCTCCTTTGTACCTGTGCTTTGTAGGGTGTCTTTCCCGGACTCCAGGAATCCCTTTAACCAGGCAACGCATGCTTCTTCTAGCCAGTTCTTCTGATACTGTAATGCCTGCTGATCGGCCTCCCACACCCCCTCGGTGACGTCAGCCTCATTATCCACAGCTGTCCAGGATGGCGTGTCTTTGCCGAAAATAATGAAATCCTGCCCTTCACACGCACACTGCAGAAATCCCTCAGTGCTTCCCGCAAATCACAGCCAATCATCCTCTGGTAAGTGTGAAACCCTGGAACACACACACACAGCCCAGACAGGGGTTTACACGGGGGTATGGAGGAGGCCACCCTGGTGATGTGACTGGGTGTGTGGCTGGCAGCACCCTCCACCCCAGGACACAGCACCCGCAGGCCTACCACGCATCACTGTCTCCAGGAGGCTCCTGTGACAAAATCCCATCTATAGACAGGTATTTGCTGGGTACCTACTGTGTGCCAGAGGAACTTGATAACTCCTGCCTGGAGGGGTTAAACTTGTTAACTCCTCCAGGCAGGACTTATCAAGTTCCTCTGGCACACAGTAGGTGGAGGAGGGAGAGAGACGCAGCTGCCAGAAATGTCCCCTGGAAAAGTTGATGTCGTAAGTCGTGATGCTGAGTGAGCAACTCACTAAGCTTAGCCACCAGGAAATGAGACAGAATGGTCACGTTTATAGGGGAAAAGGAGAAGATACAGGTCACAGGCCTGAATGACACTGGGATAGGGACACAGGGAGCAAAGAACGAAGGGCTCCTGGGGATGACAGACAATTTGGAAGATGCATAGGACATACGGCAGGCACTGAATCCCATCAACCAAATTGTCCAGGCCTTGCCAAAAGCCACAGAGAGGGCAACTCGGCAAAAGCTCACAGGCGCTGTCAGCCCAGGGACCTCGAGGCCAGCCGGGGTAGGACCAGGGAGGGAAGCAATCTGCTGCATTCGCCACCTGAGGGATTGCAGTGACTCTGCAGTCGCTTCAGTCCCACCTTGAGCTCCTGGTGCCAACCCCACAGCAGCTGCGCGTGTCTCTCCCAGTGACTGGGCATGAGGTGATCCGCCATCCATGGTGCCCGAAGCTCCTTCACCCGAGAGACACTGTCGTATGTGGTCATGGGATAAGAGTCCACATACCCCACTGGAATAAATTCAGGGATCCCATGGCCAGGATCCGAGATGCCCAGGCGTTAGTATCTCAGGGAGTGAATATCTGGGAGGGAGGCAAAGAAGGAAGATACTTAAAGTCACAGACCATCCAGGTCCCTAAGCCTCAGTCCACTTAATTACGCCCATCAGCTCTGTGTTCCGCTGCACCCCTTCCTCCCGAGACCTGGCTGCTGCCTCCTCTAACAGAACCAGAACCTCAGCAACTGGGACTGGAAAGGTCTTGAATGCTCTAGCCCAAGACTTGGAGCCTTTTTTGTTCAGGTTTGGAAGCCTTAGGATGAAATTTACCGGTAATCTCAATTTGTATGTAAAGGAGGGGGTGCTTTTCGAGTTTGCAGGGAGAGGGCCCAGGCCCACTTACTGGGTCTGTAGGTTTGAAAACACTGCTAACCCAGCCTTCTGTTTTCCAACGAGGGCAGTGAGTGGATAAATGGGGGCCTTGTCCACCTCTGCATGTGCACCCGTGGGTGTACACACACACACACACGCACACACACACACAGACAATGAGATCAAGAACCCACATACATTTTTAAAAGCACAGTTCTTTTCCTATTACACCAAACCACCTCTGTTGACCATTTGTTATGTTTTCTCTACTTTTTCTTCTGGCCAAATATCACTATAAGAATTGTGATAACCACAAATGTGGTCAAGATAGATTAAGCTGGAATGATACAAAACTGGCTCTCTCTGCCACTGCCACGCTGACCTCCTCTCAGCTCAGGCAAGAAGCTCACGGTCGGGTAGAGACCGACAAGGCAGTTTCAAAGCATGTGATGGGCCCCATGATGGGGTGAGTGCAGGGTGTGGGCCCTCAGGAAGACTTTCCAGAGAAGACATGTCTCAGGGGGGATGTCAGGGACAAGTAGGAGGTGAGCTGGCAAAGGGGTTGTGTGGGGTCACAGGAGGGAGAGTGGTGGAAGCAGAGCAGAAACCACATGTGCCAGCAGGAGGCGGGAGAGAGTGTGGCATGCTGGGAACCAATGGCCCCCCGGGAGGAGACGATGGGAGGATGGCATGTGAGCGGTGGGCAGAGCCAAGGCTGAGGGCCAAGCCCCTCTGTGCCATCCAACAAGCAGGGTCCAGGCTTTCTTCCCCTGCTCTGCTCACCACGGTCTGGAAATGCCAGTCTCAAGCCTTTAGTCTTGTTATGTCCTGCCATCTGGCTCATCAAAATCCCTCCCAACCATCAAAGCCCATCTCCAAAGACACTCCCAGGACCAGCCTCGACCTTTGCATGGCCAGGTCAAGAGGACAAAGGAGACCCATTACTGCTCAAAGGGAAAATTGTTCCCACATAAGCATCAGTGGCATCGTCGCCACACACAACATTTACAATTCTGGTGATTTCGTTTTCTTATAAAAAGTCACTTCATAACAATCTGCACTATCTAGAGTTTATAAGAGGTAAGTGGAGAGAAATATGGCCTGTTGACGGTACCCTCCAAGTCCAATGTAATGCCCTTTCCTTCAACCTCAAGGCAGTTCCTGCTTTTGGAGCACTCTCCCCCGCCGGCCCTGACTTCAAAGGCTGCTGTGCCCCTGAAGGCCGGCCTCCATCCATCTGCCGGTCATCTGCCTGTCCGCCCCTCCTGCAGCTGCAACCTGGCTCCGCTCCAGGACACCGCGGCCCTCCCCCCTTCCCTTGCCGTGGGCCCAGTTACCCATCTGGTGTGTCCACAGGTATGGGTCATGTTTGCTCCTTAGCTGGACTTCCAAAATGAGACCTCAGCTGCGATGGGAGGTGAGTAGACAGATGTTAAATCAGTAACTCAGAACAAAAAAGAAAGAGGAAAGTCTATGGTCTCTTTCATGGTATGTTAGACTATGTGATAATTTGTATTCTATGGCTACATTACCCGGATGACCAGATTTCTAGTATACTATGAGGGTTGTTGAATCACTTTAAAAGACCTATTTTTGATCATTTTTGATTGACTAACATGGCAATTTCACATGACTCAATCTTAGAATCTTCTGATTCTTTCTTCTTGCCCCGATAATGATGAAATTAGGTTTCTCCCTTTCTGTGCACAGACTATTAGCATCAACTCACTCACTGCACTGAAATCTACAATCTAGAATTCAGTCTTCTGTTCAGGCCGTTAAGCTGCCTCTCAAAGGGCATTGGCTGCCTGGCCCAAGAGCCCCTGACAGACGAGAGCCCGAGCAACACAACCTCCCAGCGCAGGCCAAGTACAGTGGTTACTTAGTGTCCTAAATTATGTTCCCTTCACTCTGTAGATGAGCTAGTTCGGCCATTTTTACAAGAGGCTGTGAAAATCACTGGTTATGAAACAATTGGTAAAGTTTTCAGGCATTCGCCCATGGGGCAATTTTTATTTACTGGGCATCTACCACGCACAAGGAATTGAGAGTCCGCGGCAGGAAGGCAAAGGCACGTCAGACGCCAGTTCTCCCCTCCAGGAGCGCGCAGTGCCATAGGACCGAAGCGCGGAACCTGATCAAGTTGCAGGGCTATGGCTTGTGGCAGCGAGCGGTGTGTGCTATGACCCAGGCACGGTGCCCAGGGGAGAGGGAGCTTGCTCTCCTGTGAAGCGACCCGGGAATGCTCGGGTCGCTTCACAGGAGGTGAAGGAGGTGACACTACTCCCACCAAGTTGGGCCCTGATGAGCTGCGGACGGCGGCAGCATCTGAACCATGAGCACTGCACGTTATTTACTGAGCACCTGCCCTGGGTTAGGTACGCAGCTAAGCCTTCGATAAACAGGAGTTCCATTTACGCCTCACGGCAACCCTCTGAGGCAGGTTTTAAAATTCCCATTTTAATAAGTGCAGAGAGATGAAGAAAACTGCCCAAGGTCATCCTTAGACCCCACGCGGAGGAGGCAGGAATCACTCTCCGATCTCTGAGACTGCCAGCCCCTCCGCCGTAGACACCAGCTACGTCCTAAGGCAGGGCACTTCTCAAGCCCAGTTTCAGGATCCCCACTCCGTCACCATTGCTCTCTCCCGCCCCCTTGTGTCAAGGGTGACTCACTGTCACTGATTCCCCCAGGCCCTGGAGGCTCAGGCTCCAGACCTTTCTCCAAGTGCCTGTGGGCCCTGATTGGATAACCAGGTCAACAAAGTCCTGATTATTCGTTGGCCCTCCCAAGTAGCCTGATGCTTTAATCCAGCCGGAGTGATTATGATTTCTGGGAACTACTCCCTGGAATGTCAGGCATGGAAGGAATGAGTAGGAGAAGTAGGCGGCGATATTTTTAGTTAAGAGGGCCCTTGGACACTTCGCAAACCACCCGGTGCCGTGGATGGTTCTACCGGTAGCAAGAGCTAGTCTAACTACGGGAACTCACTGAGGGCCTGCAAAGCTGATGTGAGGGTTTCACTTTTTAGCGACTCTTTCGAGGCCACTCTTTTGGAGGTTGCCAATGTCTCCTTTTGTATAAGTTTTATTCTTTTCTGAATTTTCAGTAGGCACAGTCCTAGCAGTAGGGATGAGGCAGTGAACACATCAAAGTCCCAGCCCTCTGGGCCAATTTCTAGAAGGTAGAGATGAAAATTGTGATCAAAAATAAAGCAGAGAAAGAGATAGAGTGTGGAGACGGCTAATCTTTTAGGTAGAAGGACGTGGAAAGTCCTCCCTGAGCAGGTGGCAATTGAGCAGAGAGATTCGAAGGAAGTGAGGAAGTGAGCTAAGGGAGAAGAGCCCTCCAGACAGAGGAGCAAGCCCGGGTCCTCCAGGAGGCTGTGCTGGAGGGTAGCAAGGACATCCCTGCAGGGCCACGTGGAGTATTAAAGAAGATGTGAATGAATGAGCTGTGATGGGTTTTTTTTTTCTCGGTATTCTCTGTATACAATGATGATCGCATGCCTCATATTTCCCAGAAGAATTCCAATTTTGTGAATTTTATTCTTTTTAAGTGATTCATCGCAGTTGTAACAAAATGTGATTTGATACATATATTCTTGAAAGGTTTTCCATAATAAATACAAATGCGGACATCAGAAAGAATGTCCTTCGCCGTTTGTCTCAATTTGGGTTTCATAAAACAAGTGATCTTTAACCTGGGCCCCCTCCCTCCAGTTCTTGGCAATCTTCTGGGGTAAGAGGACAGTTCAGGTCAGAGGATGTTAGTAAAGATAAATATTCCAACTAGTCAGAAAAAAATCTACAATGACTTGAATTTCTCGGATTTAGATAGATTCCATGTCAACCAAGAAGAAGAGGGTCTTCAGGGAGTAAAATGCTGTCTTGGAGAAATTTCTCCTGTGTGTACCTTGGCAACAGCTCCATGGAAACAGACTAAAAGTCTAATAAAGTCTATAGCAAATGCCCACATTTTCCCATGTTAACTCTTTGAACTCAAGGTCATTTCTAAGCAGATAATCTGTACATGTGTCTTTATTCTAGCTCTGTTGTTGATTTAGAGGGCTCACCCATCATTAGTCCTTACCTATGAAGGACTCTGTCATTCACAAAGCAAATGGCTATAACAGATTGATGTTGTACATCCATAGAATCATGAGTATTATCAAGAGACTGACCTTGGTTATTTCAAGATTAAATGCACAGACCTCATGTGGCCATGCAGGAGAGACCCTATGCATGCCCCAGCCAACTGCACCACCCACGTCACCAGGCCAGTTTCCCACAGGCTGAAATGCAGCACAGGGTGAATTGCAAAGCATGAAACATTGTGTTGTGCTTTTTTCTTCTTTCCCACACAAATTCTGCAACTACAGTACACCACAGTTACTAATTTGCAGTCATTGTTGCTGCCCAAGTTCTCAGTGGCTCACAGATAACTTCGATTTCTTAGGAACATTACCTTTGAACATAAATCCCCTCAGGAAGCATTTTTTAAGTGCCTACTGGTCAGGAGGTAGCGCTGGGGCAATAAAGAAGAGAAAAATGAAGAGCTCTCTGCCTGGCTTTAAGGAGGG